GTACATATAAAAACATTAATTAAAAATCCATGAAAATAAGAGCCTAGTAGTAATTCTATATAAGACTTAAGAAAATATTATGGTTACATGGATGTTTACCTATTACACTTTTGAATCAACAAAAAAGACAAAATATCTTTTATTAAATTTTATTTGGCATATGTATTAGAACTGCTGTCTTGTAAAATGTATTTTGTCTGGGTTCCTGCCATCAAAAATAATAAAACTAAACTTTTAAAATTCTATATAAATTGAATGCGCGTAAACACAGAATCAATTTTATAAGGCACCCTTTTTACAAACAGTGAAAATGGTACAAATTACTTCCATGATATCTTAAAAAGCCACAAGTGATCAGCAAACCCCACCCCCTAAAACCCAATCGGTGAAAGCTTTTTAATTTAACATTCCTGAAACGTGACATGACACTCAGCTTCTATTTTGTTCGGAGTTTTGTCTAGGTACTGCCACATGCTATTTTTCCCATGTTAAAACTGCCACTGGATTTAGTCCCTGAAAAAAAGAGTTAACTCAGAAACCGCTTTATCATTCCTTGGTAGATATGACATATTCTATATTTTATGGGTAATTTTTCTAACAGACTTAGCTTCCAAAATTCCACTTACCCTTTGCCTCACATGACCAAACATTGCCTAAATATCTTTAACAAATTTGACCTGAAGGGTGGAACAGCCATTAGGCCGATGATCCACCCAAGTACCCCTTGATGCAGGCCCTCTGCAATTGGGTCAGCTTTCTTCTGCCAGAATTAAACCTTAATTAGTGTAGTGGAATCTGTGATGTGAGAGATGACTACAGAAGGGGGAATCCTCAGCTCGTACAATTTGTCACAGATCCACTTAAGTCAACTGACACCAGTCGAGGATCTACCCATCATAAGAGCTTATGATGGGCTATATGCAGTGAAAGTATCTTAAAGAGAAGAGGCTTGAGCACCACATTGAATAACCTAATATAGGTTGATATCAGTGTTGGTGAATACCACTGTAGATGCAAATAAATAAAAATAGGGAGAAAATATTCTTACGAGAAAAGAAAAAGAAATAAGCATGCTTTAAAAACACTACTTTTAGATCCAAAATCACAGGGAAAGTCTTTTAAAGATTTTCCTCTCCAATAAAACTACCATATAAGCTGCAAATGATCCAATACTCCCAAGGTTAATTTTCAATTTTCACAGTGAAAGGTTACTATTACATTCTGACCTGTAAATTGCATCTTTCTGCTAATACCCTATCATCTCATTTGTGTCCCTTTGCAGCTAGGACTTAAGTGTTCTATATTTGGTGACTCACATCTGTTTATTATTTAGTTTATGCTTGGCTTCACAGACCATTTGAGTTAGCAGTTTGTAGCACAGTCATTTTCGATTATTATACCTGGCCTACAAACAGCGTAAGTTTCTTCCCATTCCTCCCCCACCCAAGCTGATCATTGCTGGTACCACAGCCAGGGTGTTCAAGAAAGTGCAAAAAGCAAGTGTAGTGAAAAGAACACCATCTGCAACTTCAGACCAGCATGTTAACACTGTCACATATTAGTAATATCTGAGCAATCATAACTTGTTAATGTCTGAAATGACGTTGCCAAGGCTTAGCATAAAATACTGGAACTTCTCAGATTAAGCTTTTCCCATTACCTAATGTTTCCAGACTGATTCTCCAAAAATTCTGTGCACATACAAAGAGAATGCTCCTTTGCAAGACAAGATCCTGAACTTGGTATTAAAATGCCATTTTTCATCAGAGACTAACATGAACTTATATCTCCATTTGTTCCAGTTGTGTATTCGGGTGCAGAATGCTACACAAACAGCTAGCAAAGGACTGATTGACAAAAAAATTAACACCACACGGAGCATCCAGACGAGCAGGAACATACGTTTCCCTGAGGACATGTAGCAGCAGCAAAACTTGTGCCGCTGCTACTTGTCCCTGGGGCATGCTCATGTCATGCATGCTCTGGCACGTGGCAGGTGGGGTAGGAGAGGCTGGGGCCAACAAATGTGCTGGCCTGAGACCTTGGGGAGCTGGCAGCCATGGCACTCCTGCAGCAGGAAGCCTGGCTGGCAACCAAAGTGTGGTTCTGGCCAGCCAGGCTCCAGTTTTGGGCGATACATGCTGCCACCACGTGCACTGCCCCACTTCTTTTGGCATGGGTTTTCTTTGACCAAAAACCCCCTGCCTACACTGTAAAGTAGCAGCATGGGGAATGCTTGCATGTCTACAGCGCCACATACTGCACATCTGTGCTCATCTGGATGCGCCCACAGAGTGTACCGTTCCAAACGTGTTCCTATCATTCATACAGATTTGATTCTTACAAAAATCAGATATAAAATTCTATACTTAGTTTTGCTTCTTCAACTAGAAGTTAAAACATTTTTAAATGCAGAAAGCACTTCTTTTAGATGCTGAAAAAAATGACACGTCAATGCTAAAAATATAGTGACCATCTGCCACCTACAAAGACATCATACAAAAAAGTATTCAGAAATTTTGCAGAGAGTTCAAGTATCAAAATGACTGTCTGAACTTATGCTGTATATACAGTGAATACCTGTGAAGAATCCAGAGGGATGATCCTTACCAAAGTCCCATCTTCTCTGGCTCAGAAGGACTTAGGAGCCACTCTCTAAGAGATGCCCATTGCAATTCCATTCCCCTCCCACCATACCACTCTTCTGAAACGTAACCATACAGCTCACTTGCTCTGTACCTTCAGAAGCATGATGCCTTCTAGTATGCAAACAACAAGAAAACGCTAATAAGGCAAGGTGAATGAAATCCAGAAAAAGACCCCAGGCGCCTAAGGCAGCAGTATCTTTCTTACTCAAAAGCTTGGGAAGACAACTTAGAAATGTTTTTCTCTTCGGTTTTGCTGACCACCAACTATAATATTAATAAACTGATCAAATCAGAATTTTTTGCATATAATAAACCCCATAACATAACACACTTATTTTTGGAAGGTCTCAAGAGGGAAAAAATATCTTACCTTTGAGTACAGGTAAGTACCTGAGGTATGGAGTCTCTGGACCTGGGGGTCACATGTCGGAGCTGGGGCCTGGAGGCTGTACTCTAAGGACACGGGACCTGATCAGGCACATTGGCTCTGTACTTTGGCCTGATCCTGCTGGCGCTGGAGTCATGCAGTGACCTTGGGCATTGACTCTAGAGCAGTGGTTCTCAACCTTTCACACTGGGATTAGCATAATTATCAGCTTGCTATGACCTGCGAGCCACAATCCCCTGGCCCTGACCCACACAGTCTCTCTCTCTCTCTCCTGCTCCTCTGGCTGCTGCATCCAGCCCCCTCCCCCTCTGGCTCCTGGGGCTGCTCTCACAACGCTGTGTGCTCGCCAGGCACCAGCTGCCTGCCAGCTCCATGCAGGCTAACAGTGTTGCAGCCTGGGGAAACCCCTAATTTTCTGGGACCTCTCCATGGCCCCTTCAATGTTCTTGCGGCCTACTTCTGGGCACAATCCACAGGTTGAGAAACGCTGCTCTAGAGCCATGTGCCAGTCCAACTTGTCATGTGGTCCTAGACTTGGTGCACTGGATCTAACCTGGCAAGTGGCTCTGGAGCCAGTGCATGGTGTCAGTTCTGGCATACTGGATTGGACACTAGGTTCTGGCTCTGAAAGATTCTTATACACTGGCCTTATCGGTATGTTGCTGGGGAAGGAGGCTGCCCATGGGTCTGGAAATTTTGCAAGGGGGGGCACAAAGAGGGCAGAGCTTTGGCAGTGTTAACTGTTATGGCTCCCAATTAATGCTGCCACCAGTCCACCCCCTCCTCTACCAGCAAATTACAGAAACCATGAGGAGCCCTTTTCCTCACCTATAATACACACCCTAATTTCCCCCCACTTTTTTTGGACAAAAAGGTCTGGGTTATATAGTACTCATTAATATTCATGTGAATTTAGAAGTGTTAAATTTATTGCTAGTGGTTTCCATTCCACCTACAATAGCTTCTATGGCTGCTATATTGCTACTGTTCTTCTTCCTTATTAGCTATCAAATACCTAAAGTAGCATCAAGTGACTACCCATTTCTTGCAGGAAACTGTCAGTCTTAAGCACAATCAGGATAAATGACTTCTTACCCAATGGGTTTTAGGCAACAGATATTTGACCGTAACATTTTGAAATGGTATAGCAGTGGATCAGACTTGGCAAAGCTTGTAAAGGAAATCTGATCTCTGAAATGGCAAACTTAGATCTTATCCACAGTCCCTCTTAAAGAAAATATTTTAGTGCTTGTAAATGTGTATGTACAAAAGAACTATGTTAAGTATAATACAAGACTCAATGGCTTGGCGAAGAAGAACTGTGGCTATAAATTAGGTACTCAGAACATAATCAAGAGATCTGCATTCTGAACTATTTAACTGAAGATTTTTTTTAACTGTTGTTAACATGAGTGAAGGAAGCTTATTCTGTACATGGCTCTCTCAACAACATAATTTATGGGTAGATATTGCAAGATGCCTGCAGAATGCATGAGGTGGGATTTCAAAAGGACCAC